AGTTGTTTGTTCGAGACAGGGTCTTGCTATGTTCAGGCTGGCCTTGAACTCACAGCAATCCTCCTGCCTCAGACTCCCAAGTGCTGGGATTATAGGCATGTACCTCTATACCTGGCCTATGTCTCAATTTATACAACTGTCTTCTGAGTTCATTTCTTCCAGATTCTACCAGCTTTCAAAGATACGTGCCCAACCACCATCTGGACTCATTACACAAACCTAGAGAGCTCTGTTTCCAGCGTAAGGGAATGAGAGACTCTACCTTGGACAATCAGAAACTCAAGGGGCCCCTAACAATGTCAACACTGGTTGAAGTTCACCTCAAAGCAATTATAGATGTGGCCACTCCATCCTCATCAATGATTTTTCTTTGCTGATGGGGTGTGTGTGTGTGTGTGTGTGTGTGTGTGTGTATGTGTGTGTGTGCCTGTTGGAAATGAAAGAGTTGAAACCCTTAACAGCAGAGTTACAGTAAAGCCACTCCACTAGGTGGACATCATAAGGTAGCAACAGTGACCAGAACATTGCAAGATAAAGGCCCATTCATTCCTCCCAGTGAGTCTGGACCCATCTTCTGTAAAAGATAACATTTAGACCACCTTATCTTATCTAAAGCTAGAAGGCTGGAGTAAATGTTCTTGTCAAATTGCAACTTTTTGTTTTGTTTTACTTCTTGTTTTTTTGACACAAGGTCTCACTATGTAGTTCAGGCTGACCTTCAGCTATGTAGCTCAGGCTGGTCTGGAATTCAAGGCCATCTTCCTGTCTCAGCCTCCTGCATGCTGGGGTTATAGGCATGCACCACCATCCTCAGCTCATCGAATTGCAACTTTGAACATAATTTTAAAGGTAATGCAGGTGCTCCTGAAGTATCTACATGGTGTGCTAAACCTCCCCACAAAAAAAGTATTCATTAGATAATCACATTTCCTACCTAGACCCTTTTTCCATATTTTCAATCTTTTATAAAATCACCAATCTCTCACCCTGACAGGGTGATTCCCTTGTTGGAAACTCAACCACTGTCCTTTTTGACAGTGTACCCTAACCTAAGTAAATTTTCCTCGTACTCTTATGAGTGCCTGGGGAAATTCTTTTTACTGCCTTCATCACCACCCTCTAAATGCTGTCTCACGTGGCCTTCGTGGTTGACTGTTTCTGTAGTCTCCAGTTCTTCTGAGGGCCCTGGACCCTAAGCAGAGGAAAATGAGCTCAAATCTTGATTTTCTTTTCTCCCATTAGTCTGAGGTCCCTCTGTGATCACTGACAAAATTCCTTTCTGTTCCCAAGAGAGTCAGTTCTGAAGGCTCTGCTAATTATGGCTTGAAGAACGAGTTTGTCAGCTTGTTTGCAAGGAACTTGTGTTCTGTCAGCTTTACCAGCTACAAAACAACCCCAAAGCCTAGTGGCTGAAAATAGTAATTAATATTAAAAGCCTTCTGCAGATGAACTTGACACATCTTAGTTCTGCTGATTTCTCTTGATCAAAGTGAGTCCTAACACCAGCTCACGCAAAAGGGAAAATGAAATAGATTCCATCATTTGGGGAATAGTTTCAAAGAAGCTGTGACTGTTTGTAATCCATTACAAGATGTTCTGAGGGCTTTGTCAAGGGGCCTGGTCTCAATTCCCTACCAAGATCTGTCCAGCAGGTCACGACAGCCTGCACTTACCTCAGGGTCTCTCTCAAGTGAGGCTCAGGAGATGCATGGAGGAAGGTGCTATATGCAAATAGTCTCGCCTACTGGGGAGAAAGAAATAGTATTATCAAAGACAAATTTCAAAACTGAATTTAATGTTCTAGGCTAGCAGCTAAAAAAACAGGAGTATATTTCAAATATCAAGAGTGAAGTCATTCCAATGGAAAATATAATCAATTGTAAGAGTGAAGCCCAATGAGACAACAGAAACAAAATGTTAGAAATTAATCCAAATTTATTACTAATTAGGTTATACATAATGGAATAAATGTTCAAGGTAAAGGAAAAGCATTGCTAGTCAGAAGCTTTCAAGTACTTAGAGTTTTTTCATCTCCAGCTAAAGTATATATAAAAAGACCCATCTGAGCTTAGGGGTGTAGCTTTGTGGTAGAGTATGCGCTCAGCTGAGCAAGCCCTAGGTTTGATCCCCAGCACCAAAACAAAACAAAGACTAAAAAGGAAAACAAAAGCAAGCTGACACAGCTATACTAATGCCTAACAGAAGCAACAGAACAGAAGGAAAAAAAAAATCTGAAAATTTAAAATTTTCTAATTTTCTTCCAGCACTGAGGATTGAACCCACAGCCTTGTGCACACTAGACAAGCACTCTACCAGGAGCTACATCCCCAGCAGAAAGCCTAGATTTTCACAAACCTGGCTCAGACTATGCCTCAGTGACAGAGCATCCACCTACAATGCAAAGCTCTGGGTTTGATCTCCAGTACCACATAACAAACAAAAACAGAAAAAAAGAAATAAAGCACAAAACTAAATACTCTCTCCCAGGACTAATCCAACAGAAAGAATACACAAAGAAATCATTCTCAAATGCAAGAGACCCAAAGTAAACTTAATTATACAACAAAGAAACATTAAAAAATAAAGGTTTTCCTTGCATACGTGAAAATGAAAACATGCCTAGAAAAATATACTCTTAATGCTTAAGATATTGGAAACCTTAGTTGTCCTATAACCATATGAGAAATTCAGCAAATAGCTTAAAATTGTAGAAAAACAGATACCTAACACAATAATTAACAACTGCACCAAAGCCAGATAATTTAACCATGAAAAAGTTACAAATTTATAAAATATGAGGACACATCCCAATACAATATATGATGCCACCATCATCTACATCACAATACCATCAGTACCAGGGACTGAGCCCAGGGCTTTGTACAGGCTTTGTACTCTACCTCTTGAGAACCACCCAAACCACATTTTTCTTTTTTTTTTGAACCCAGGGCCTCACCCATGCTAGGCAAGTGTGTTACCACTGAGCTACACCCTTAGCCTCTACTTTTTTTTATGTACAAAAAAAAAAAAAAATTACATTCTAAATTTACCGAAACGTATCTATAGAGCTCTTTTGTAACACATTAGTAAACATAATCAAGTTAAGTATTAAATGTAGTCCAAGCCCAGCATGGAGGGGCACACCTGTAATCCCAGCACTCTGGGAAGCTGAGGTGGGAGGATCACTAATCCAAACCCAGGTTGGGCAATTTAGCAAGACCCTGTCTCTTTAATAAAAAATGGGTTAGGATGTAACTCAGTGCAAAGGTCCTGAAATCCTCAATACCAAAAAAGAAGAAGAAAAGGCAGTATTATACAAGTTGAGTTTACCTAGGAATGAAAGGTTAACCTCAGAAAATCAATAATGATCAATAATGACCATATTGATTTGCAAATCCTTTCATTCATTCACATTCAAGCATCTATTATGTATTATGAGCCAGTTGTAATTCTAGGTGTTTGAGGCTTACCAGTGAATAAATATGATTGTGATAGAAGACAGAAGTAAAGCAATCAATGAACCCAAGAAAAATTCAGCCTTTTTAATTCTTAAATATTGGGGCTGGGGAGATGGCTCAGTGGAATAAGCGCTTCCCTGGCAAGCACAAGGGTCTGAGTTCAATCCCCAGTTCCGCCAAAAAAACAAAAAAAAAACAAAAAAACAAAAAAAAAAAAGAATTCTTAAATATTGGGAAATTTTTATAGAATACTGGGTATTAAAAAAAAAACTATACTCATTGAATCAATAGAATGAGGAATATATTAGAATTTTGAAGAAAAATGCCTTTTTTACTATTTTCGATCAATATTATGCTGAGGTCATAATCACTCATATAAAGGGGGAAAATGATCTAACAATTGAAGTAGAAAAATAAGTTATTTATAGATATGATTGCTGATGTAAAAATAAAATGAAAATGTGTATGTAGGTGCTCTAACCTATCACTCCCAAAATGCAGATTTAAAATCTGAGCCCCAGTGTGGCTGTGAAGATAGGACCTCACTTTATGGTTAGGTGAGGTTGAAAGGGCGAAAGCTAAAGCTACCAGGTTATGGCTTTATCACAGGAGAAAGAGGGAGGGACATGTCCTCAGTCTCATGAAAGATACTGGTACTGAGAAGTGGTGTTTAAGTAAAAAAGAATTCTTAAGCAGCTTTGAGACTGAATAGTAGGTAGAGGGTGGAAATATTTTTGTGTTGTTTGGTTTTTGAGAGAAGGTCTTGCTATGTGGTGGAGGCCAGCCTTGCACTCACTATGGAGCCCAGGCTGGCCTTGAACTGGTGGTGATCCTGCTGCCTCAGTCTCTGCTGTGTTGGGATGATGGCTGTGCTGGGATGATGGGTGGAAATGTTTTCAAGTGCACACTAGAAATAAGGACATTCAGGGCTGTTCTGATGATTTGTCATTTGGTAATGACGAACACATTGTTAAAATGTAGATAAGGGCCGGGGAGATGGCTCAGTAGGATAAGCGCTTGACTGGCAAACACAAGGATCTGAGTTCAATCCCCAGTTCCACCAAAAAAAAAAAAAAAAAGTAGGTAAGATCTGAGTATGGTAGTACATGTCTGTAATCCCAGCTATTCAGGAGACTGAGGCAGGAGGCTGGCTACCAAGTTCAAGCCCACTTGTGCAATTTAGCATGTCCACATTTCTAAAACTGGGACCTAGTAGTACATGCCTGTAATCCCAGCACTCTATAAGGGCTAAGGCTAGAGGATCAAGTTCAGCCGAGGGAGCTTAGTGAGAGTCTGCCTCAAAATACAAAAAGAAGGGGATGTAGGTCAATGTGAAAGACCCGAGTACAATCCCCAGTACCTCAACAGTCAGGGCTGGGTACCATGTATGTGGCAAATACCATAATCCCAGCACTCAGAAGACAGACACAAACAGATCACTGCAAATTTGAGACCAACCTAAACTAACAGTGAGACCCTGTCTAAAAAAACACAAACAAACACAGAAAATAGGGCTGGGGATGTAGCTCTGCAGCAGAATGCTTGCCCAGCATGGGTTAGTTAAATTGCTAGCACCACTAAAAAACACAGTCTGATGGCAATCAAAAATCTGGCAGAATAGTTACAGTGTAATAATTTATAACAAGTAGAACTTGAGCAAAGTAAAATTAGAAATTTAGGGCCGTGGATATAGCTCAGCGGCACAGTGCCTGCCTGGTAAGCACGAGGTCATGGGTTCAATTCCCAGTACCAAAAAAATACAATAAAATAATAAAATTAGAAATTTATTTGAGGTTTGCAATTCAACTGCTGAAGGAACAGCTTGGTTCCACCTGACTTTTAATAAAATACCTAAGGGGAGAGCTCAATCCATCATGGAACTCTTAAGTTAAAAGGAAACAGAACTGGAAATTTGGAAAATTCTCAGCCAATCCATATTGCAAAAGCTGAGAAAGCCTGGACTAAAGAAAATACTAAAACTGTGAGCTGAACTATGATTCATAAAAAGATCATATTTGGGACCCACAGGTGGCATATCACCAATCTGAACAGAAGTAAGGAATAGACTAGCTTATACTAACACAAAAATTGCCTCTTTTACCTAAAACAGACCCAGAAGGCAAGAGAAGGTGGACCTACTAGATTTATAAGAAAGCATAGGTATAATTGGCTGCAAATGTGGACTAACCATTAAGAACAGGTAGGAACCATTTTCTTCTTGGCACATTCAGCACAGTAAGTTGAGGTTGGGGACACACCTGGAAGGATGTCTTTCAACAGTTCATCTGGACCTATATTAACTTGACTTCTGGAGAACTCTAATGTGAGGAGTCACACTGGCAGCCACTAACCAACAATGAGTAGGGCCAAATCTATTCAATTGTCTTATACAGGTATGTCCAGCCTGCAGCCTGCAGTGTTGTTTTAATATCATACAAAATATAAAAAAATAAAGGAACTCTTGTTACTTATATACATTAACTATATTATATGTGGCCCAAGTAAGCCAAAAGGTTGGACACCCATGCATAGCTTTTATTAATGCTATTTTCATTAGGGATCCAAGCACCAATTGAGGCCAATGTGCAGTAGTGACCTCACCTATGACCCCTGAGAGCTCAGACTCAGCTAATGTGTGAACCAGGTTGAGGGGTCAGCAACATAAATCAATGGTAGATCACTTACCTAGTATGCATGAGGCACTAGGGTCAATCTCCAGCACTACAAAAGTTCGACAGGGGACGTACATATTGTATTTAATATTATTAGGATGCCATCTATGCCAGTGGAAGCCATTACAACTCACACAAATCAGTTAAAACTAGTCTGATGATCTTTGGTGTCATTGTCAATATTTAAGGGTGGAAACAGAGGGGCTAAATAGCAACACTGATCCCCTCACATTTATAGGCCTTCTCCCCATGGTGAACTCTTGCATGTTTGCTTAAGCGTGAGGAAACAGCAAATGCTTTCCCACATTCCTTACAGATGTAAGGTTTCTCTCCAGTATGTGTTCGCATGTGAATGTTAAGCGATGTGGAATATACAAATGCCTTCCCACAGATATTACACACAAAGGGCTTTTCCCCACTGTGAATTTTTAAATGTTTAGTACGGTGGGAAGAAGTAATAAAGGTTTTCCCACAATGAACACATTCAAAAGGCTTCTCGCCTGTGTGTGTTCTCACATGGTGAATAAGGCCTGAGGTCCTAGTGAAGGCTTTCCCACACTGCTTACACTGAAAGGGCTTCTCACCACTGTGAATGCGTACATGGGTAGCAAGGCCTGAGTACTGAGTGAAGGCTTTCCCACAGTCCTTACATTCATAGGGTTTGACTCCAGTGTGTGTTCTTATATGTTCAGTAAGCTGAGTGGATCTTGAGAAGGCTTTCCCACATTCCTTACATTCGTAAGGCTTCTCTCCAGTGTGAACTCGCAAGTGTTCAGTCAGGCCTGACCACCTCAGGAAGGCTTTCCCACATTCCACACATTTGTATGATTTTATTCCAGTGTGAATTCTCATGTGATCATTAAGGTATGTGTTATTTTTAAAGCACTTTCCACACTCCTTACACTGAAAAGGCTTTTCATCACTATGAGTTTTTATATGTGCAGATAGCTGAGAAAAAGTAGCAAAGCATTTCCCACATTCCTTACATTTTTTGTTTTTCTCTTTAGAATGAACTGTTACATATTGATTTAGGTGAGAGGAAACTGTGAATGCTCTCCAACATTCCTTGCATTCACAGAGTGTTTGTTCAGTGTGGGTTTCCATGGGATTAGTAAGGCATGGAAAATACTGAAAGCTTTTTCCAAATTCCTCCATTTTGTAGGGATTTCTTCCATTGAAAATTTGAAGATGTACAGCAAGGCTCGTGGGATGAATATATTCACTCTCATACTTCTTCCATTCATAAGGGTCTCCTTCATTATGAGTTCTCATGTCCATCTGAAGGTATGATGGATTGAAAAAGGCATTCCCACAATCCCTGCACTCGAAGGGTTTGTCTCTCATGCACGTTGTCTGATATGAAATATTTGGTGTTAGGTTGAAGATGTTTCTATACTGATCAATCTCAGAAAAGTTCTGTCCAGTAGAGGTTTTCTGATGCAGAGTAAGGATGTCTTCTCCATACCAAATATACCCAGAAGTATATTCTTGGCTTTGTGTGTTCATGTGTGTATTAAGGAAAAGCTGTTCACCAAAGACTTCTCCATATGGCTTATATTCATAGAACTTCTCTCCATTGTGGTTTCCCACCTGTGGATGAAGGAATAAAAGAGAATTAAGAAATTTTTCAAACATATTGATTATGAGATTTTATAGGTGAAATCATTTCAATGACTACAATGATTTTTGTGATTGTTTTTATATGTGCTGATTTCCTGACCTCTTTGTTTCTTCCAAATTGATTCTTTGGCCAGAATCTTATATTGTGAAGTATATTTGTGAAACAACTATATTTTCATAAAATTGTTCAAAATCCTGTGCCCAGTTGTCCATTTACATGTGCAGGAATATGTCTTTGTGGAAATTCTGTGCAATAATCTTCACAATAGTTTCGGGGTGTCTCCTCATCTTGATATTCAGACTACCTCCCCAGAGGCACTACTTCCTCTTTGGTGCATGTTACTTCTCTCACACATCACTCATGTATGCTGATTTTCTACAGAAGAATTTCCAATATTTCCTGAGAGTGGGACATACGAAGTGCCCTTGGTTGGGCTGGATATGAAGCTCAGTCATATACCACTTGTCCAACATATCTGAGACCTTGGATTCAATATCCCAATACTGCTAGAAAAAGAAAGGTAAAAAATAATCCTGGGCTGGCCAAATAGCTCAGCGGATTATAGCACCTGCAAGCAGGTACAGGGGCCTGGGTTTGATCCTCAGGCCTGCCTGGCTGGTGCCTCCCCCAGGGCATGCTGAGATGGTGATTGAGACAGGGTGTGGTGACATGCACCTGTAATCCCAGCTCTTGGGAGGCTGTAAACAGGCAGATCACTATGAATCTGATCTAGTAGTGAGACCCTGAACACCCTGTAGAACTTTCCCTAAAATACAAAAAATAAAGGTAAAAATAATAAACAATAAACTTTGGAGCCAGGGAGATGGCTCAGTAGAATAAGTGCTTGCCTGGCAAGTGCAAGGGGCTGAGTTCAATCTCCAGTTCTGAAAAAAAAAAAAAAAAAGAGTTATAAGAAATAATCCTTGTTAATCTTACCATTTCCATCTCTTTGGGAGTTTCTTCCCTAAAATAATCCTCAAATTCTGATCCTTTGGTTATTTGTTGTAGCTCCAATTCTAAAGCTAAACAGAAAGAAAAACAGGGATTTGAGAAATAAATGATAGGTATATAAGGAGTTAAAAGTGATAAGGACACACCTATAATAATCAACAACGGAACTTAAAAAAAAA